CATTATATAAATTCAGCAATAATACTTCCACTGGCCCCTGTATTTCCTTATAGAACTCAGAGGGGATGCCATCGAGTCCTGGTGTTTTACTATTTTTTTGTTTCTGAATAGCCCCCTTCATTTCCAACATAGTAATTCTATTATTTAACATTTCTTTCATTTCATCTGATACTGCCGGAAGTTTTCTATCTTTCAAATATTTCTTTATATCCTCCTCCTCTACGTTCTCCTCTACTTATTTCAAAATAATTGTGGCTATTCTCTTTTTTTCATCTAACTGATGTTGAATGTTTCCCTCTTCGTCCTGTAATTATACTATTGATCTCTTTTCCTTATCCTTTTTTAATTTGTAGGCCAGCCATCTCCCTGGCTTATTAGTATGTTCAAAGTGTATCTGCTTCACTGTTTTAAGCTTTTGGGCCATTTCCTCCTGGGAGAGCAAATATATTTTATGTTTAGTCAGATCTCTTTCCTCTCTAATTCTCTTATCCGGGATATCTGCATTTTACATTCTAATTCTTCCAATTTCTCTTGTAGTTCCAATTGTTGTTTCCTTTTTTCTGTTTCTCCTTGTCCCTTATGCAATCATTAGGCCTCTGACATAAGCCTTGGTTGTTTCCCAAAGGTTCTGTAAAGTCATGTCCTCGTTTAGATTCTCCTTCAAGAAGAAATCCAATTCTTTTCTCATCCATTCTATATACTTTTTTTCTTTTATCACTTTTTGATTCATGGTCCATCTTCCTCTTAGCTTAGGCCTTCCTTTCCATTTTAGTATCAATGGGCTATGATATATCCATATATTAGTTGCTATTTCTACTTCATCTATATTTTTAGCTAATTCCCAATCCATCCAAATCGTATCTATTCTGGACCATGAATCATGTGGGTTAGAATAAAAAGTATATATATATTATATATATATATATATATATATATATATATATATGCAGATGTATTAGCAAAACTGAGTTAATTTTCTACAAATGAAACTCCCGGCCCAAAAGTTCCAAGGTTTTATATATATATAATATATAATATATATATAATATATAATATATATATATATATTTATATTTGTTTTTTTGTGGATTTCGTTCTCTCCAGATATCTTTTAGATTCAGCTCTTGTATCATATCAAAAAAAGTAAACGATAATATCTTCTTCTGTTTTTTTTATTTTTATAACTCCTCTTTTTTTGTGGTGCAAGAGCTGAGTAGAGGTTTCCTAATTTAGGGGCTTCCAATAGATGTCCTTGTTGTCTTTTGATGTGGGTTTCTTGTAGGTATGTAATATCTGTGTTATGCTTTTGTAATTTAGCTAGAATTTGTCTCCTTTTGGCTGGAGAATTAAACCATTGATGTTGATAGAAATTAATTTAATTTTTTTGTCCATTTACCGTCTACTGATGACCCTAGTTTCTTTTCTTTAAATTCGATTCTGTTTGTGTTCTTGACTTTGTCCCTATTCTTTCTTGCTACTCTTTTTCAGTCTTCTCCTGTAATTCTGTTTCCAACTCCTTTCCTTCTTCCTGACTCTTAACCTCTATCTCCTCTCCACTCTCCCTCTGTTCATCTATTGCTATACACTGTTTGTAGAACTCCCGGGCCTTGTCTATTGTATCTAATCTAATTTTTTTGTCTTGCCAGGTCACTAGCAAGCCCTCTGGGATAAGCCACCGAAACATGATTTTATATTTGATAAGTTGGGAGGAGAGAAAGTGGTAACTCTGTCTTTGCTCCCTTACCCTTCTGGGTATTTGTTTAAGAGTCAGAATCTCCTTTCCTTTATATGTCAATGTTGTATCTTGCGTTCTCCTGTAAATTTCGTCTCTAATTGTTCTTTTAGTAAATATGTACATTCCATGGCAATTTATTCTGCCATGGGTGTAATTAGCATGCACCCTGTACAGCTCATCAATACCATGTTGCAACTCACTTCTATTCATATCCAGACTACCAGCCAACAACTCTATCATAAGACTCAGGAGGTATTCTTTATTTTCTTGTATATTCTGAAATCATAAGTAAAATGCAGAGTTGTCCATTTCCAGAAATGTTATTGCCTCCTCAAGTTCTCGATTCGTTGCCATCAGTTTCTTTTTTGTCTCCTCCAGTTTTTTTTCTGTCTGTTCCATTCTTTCCTCCACTATTTTTATCCTCTGATAATTCTTAACAATTGTCTCTTGTATTTCTCCTATTCTATCATCTAATTTTCTTATGTCACCTTTAACTTCGTCCATGTCATTTTTCAATTCCTCGTGATTCTTTCCAGTCGATTCTTGAGTCTTCAGAAGAATCTCCTGAATCATATTCAGAATTGTCTGCATGCTTTGTAGATTCATTGGGGTCCCTGTTTTCTCACCTCCCAACATATCAGTTTTTGTCCTGCTGGAGAGGCAGTCATTTGGTTAACTTTCTTTGCAGTTTTGGTTACTGTTGCTGTATTTGACATATCTAATTTCCCAAAAAGTTTCTTCCACAAAACCATACAAAAATCTATTTCCTTCCTCCTCCTGTAGTTTATCTTTTCTATCTATCCCTCAATACAGTTCTTTTAGAATCATTAACTAGAGTAATTAAATACTTAATTAATAGTATAATTAATAATAAAAGAACAATTAATAATTAATTCTATCTTCCAACCTTATCAATATCAACTTTCACTCTAAATTCAATTAACAATACCTAAGTAAACAAGAGTATATTACTTCAAACTAGAGGAAGGATATATAGGCAGAAAGACAAGGCAAGACAAAACAACAATAATAATTGCTCCAAATATAAATTGTTTACCCCTATTTGCAACTAGATTTATCTATTTATATACATTATTTTATAATATATCACTATTTTCAAGAGCCAGTTGAATGACAAATAACAATAATAAAAGTAGAGAAAATCTAGACATATACCATATTATTTACTTTTTTTTAATTATTTGATTTATATGCCGCCCTTCTCCGGAGACTCAGGGCGGCTTACACTGCGTTAAGCAATAGCCTTCATACTTTTGTATATTTATACAAAGTCAGCTTATTGCCCTCAGAAACTGGGTCCTCAATTTACCTACCTTAGAAACGATGGAAGGCTGAGTCAACCTTGAGCCTGGGGAGATTCGAACCAGCAGTAATTGCAGGCAGCTGAATGATAATAACAGGCTATTAGTCTGCTGTGCCACCAGGCTCTTCTAAATAGACACTATACACAATATACACTTCTGGCTTCTAATCTCCCCAGCCTAAATTTTCTTGATGATTCTAAACAACTCCTCTGTTCTCCTACTTCCTTGCACTGTCCAATCCTCTTCCATTCACTACTTTCTAACTCCTTCGTCAAGCTGTCTGCTCCTCTTAATATGCACTGTCACTGTTGCTGTCACTCTAATCCACACTCCAAACCTCGTCATTTAGATTGTTGTATCCACAGTCCACCTTCTTTCACTTTCAAATCCCAATCGAATCTTTACTGGAATTCAAGTTTCTCTTCTTTTCCCTTCATTTCAGCTCCTCCAATCGCCCTCTTTTCTCTCTTCTACCTCTTTCACGCTGTTCCGCTCCACCATCGGACGCACCACTTTTCCTCCTTTTAGAGACTCCCTTGTTTTCACTTTTTAAGTTCCACCAATTTAGGGAAGTAGCTCAGTAACTCACTTTGTCCCATCACTATTCACCAATGCTTCTAGCTGTTTTTCCACTTCTTGCTTCCTTCTCTATTCAAATGGGCCATCACACCTGCGGATCTGACCATTACAACTGGTCTCTTCCACGCTGAAAATTAAGGGGTTCTTTCTTCTGTAACAGGGGATCGCGCACCTCCCTGTTACCCTGAGAATTTCCCCTCTACATAACTGACTTCTCCAGGGTCAGTTCTCACCGTTACTGGCTTCCAAGCGCGGAAATACAATCCGAGAAGACGGAGCTCCGTTTCTTGGATCACAACACCATGACGTCACGCCGGAAGTCAGGGAATTTATTTTCAATCCATCCAATTGCATGACTGATTTAACTGTTGTTGCCTGTATCTGGATATTTTCTTTAGAATGCTGTCAGACTGGCCATAGCTTGTTCCCTAGGTAAGAACAACTCTTGATTCCATAGGGGTTAGAGAAAATGTACTTTCTGTTAAGTACTTAACAAGTTCTGTTAAGAAAAACTGCGTGAAAATCATATATTGAAAGCAATCCCCAACATCCAAAACCCTCCTCCCTAGGAGAATAGTCCAATCAGGTCTTGTTCTGATGTTTTGGGAACCTGGTACCTCAGGCGCTGTAGTAATTCCTTTCCCAAGGCCAATGTCCTTGAAGGCAAGAAGATAGCTCAGTTTGTCATCTCTGGTTCCGTGCCTCTGCCTTCGTCTGCAGCTTGGACAGGGAATCAATTCACCTGCCCAGGCCATGTAGCCCCAGAGTTGACAAAGGGGCCGCAGCTGCTGCCGGGTACCGTCAGTCCCCATGCACTTGCTGTCTCTTCTGTGCACGCCAGCAGGCAGGCACCCAGCTGGATTGATCACCCTGAAATCATGTTTCCCCAAAAATGAGCCCTAGTGCTTATTTTGGAGCCTCCCAAAATATAAGACCATGTTTTATTTTCAGGAAAACATGTTAGTTACTCCTGTTCAAATCTGGATAGCACAAATCTGGATAGCAAAGAGCTGGCTTTGGCAACAGAATCATTTGTTTTTCAGCAGAGAGAGAAAAAGCCTCACCATTCAGCATGCCATTTTCTGGGGAAGTCCTACCATTTCAGGGGAATATCCTAAAGATTATACTTTTAATCTAAACTCTATCCTGTACATAGTCTGATTTAAATGTGAGTCCTAAATCATCTTCAAATGCTGCTCTAAATAATACTGGATGTTCTATATCAGCAATTCTGGGAACCAATTTCACCTATGTTTCAATAGATATCATAGAATTTAGTAAAGCTATATAAACAACTCTGCTTCATTCTAAAATTGTAAGGTAATACAGATTTTTCCTTTTTTTAATTTCCCACTCTATAGGGATGTGAGCTCATACAGACACCAGATCAAGACTTAACAGATTTCACCAAGTGCCTTCAGATACTTCAACAGAAAATAGAAAAAAGCAGTTTGCAGGTAATGCTAGCAACTCTGTCTATACACATTTTGGCATATGACTCTTCCTGGCTATGTTCACTGTCTAACATAATGGCAAATAAAAATATAGAGGAAGCAGAAATAAAAAAATAATGAACTGTCAAGAAGATATCTCTTCTTGTTTCTGCTGGTGAAACTTTTAAGGCTTCTGAAGAGTGATCAGAATTGAATCCACATACTACTAAAACTCTCATGAAGTTTACCTGGGTGAAATGGTGTATCTCATATGACTCACCAAGAAATAAAACCTAGGAATGTTGTGGCTGCTTCAGTGCTACTGGCTGTTGCTGTTGCTGTGCTGCTGCTTGCAATCATGTGATCTTCATTTTCAATGTTTGGTGACAGTTTCTCAACCAGTCCTCCATTCCATTGCTCTCTCCCTTACCCAGCAGCAAGAAATTGACTCACTGTAGCTCTTAAAGAAGCAACATCTTTAAGGTGCATGAAGAAAGGCCCCGATATTTGTATTGTTTATGTGCCTCTTCTGTGTATGTATCTATACACCATCTTTCTTCGGGAACTCAAGACATAACACTGTTCCATTCTCCTATATTTCTTTACAACAATCCTGTGAACTAGGTTGGTCTAAAAGTTACCAAGTAAGCTACTGCAACTGAAAATGGAGTAGAAACTGGATCTTTCTGATGCCAGGAAAATACATTAATTCATTTTTCAAATGCTTCCATTCTGAAATTGAATGTAGACCAGCCCTGCTCCCGCCACTTCAGCTGTTGGAGATCAAGTAGACTAGTTCCACTCAAGCTTATAGGAAGCCACCTGTATCTATTTTTTAAACTGTTATCTTGTGGCTTTTAACAACTCAATGTAAAAATGGAGGAGAGAAAGGGAATTCTAAACTGTTCTGAGATTAGAATGGCAACATATAATATTGTGGTAAAATAAATTAAAATAAAACATTATCATCATAATTGTGCCATGTGGAAAGTGAGGGGGAACCTCATAGTCAAGATTAATTAATTAAACATTGAGATGCAGCAAGGAAGAATATAGATGAAGAAAGGATGAAAGGAATGCACATTTCCATAATCACAAGGAAAAGTACAAATTAAGGAGACAAGATGCCAGAGGAAAGAGAAGGTCAACTCAAGAATATGTAGCAAACACTAATTATTGTGAGAGTTCCTCAACACAACAATACCCATCTTCATTGACAAAACCTCAGTAGAGAAAGAACTAGGCAAAATGCATGACTTGCACAATGTATTATTTCTGTGAATGTTTGAAAAATTTGGGTGCGTCTTATACTCTGAATGTAGCCCTGCCCAGCCTCTCAAACGGAGGTTTCAGAGGCTGAAAAAAGCCTCAGAAATAAAGTTTCAGAAAAAAAGCCTCCAAACAGAACTTCAGAAAAAAAAGCCTCTGAAAGGAAGCTTCAGGAAAAAAGACACTGAAACTTTGTTTCAGAGGCTTTTTTCCTAAAGCTATGTTTTGAAGGCTTTCAGAGGCAGAAGAAAAAGTTTTTTTCTGAAACAGAGTTTCAGAAGTTTCAGAGACAAAAAAAAAAAAAGCAAGGCACAGAGCTCACAACGAATAAACTTGTTTCTAAAATTCACCTCTGGGAAAAGCTGTTTGGGGGTATTCCAGGAGGCCGATCCATCCGCCAATCAGCTTTTTTCTTATTTTCCTCCCCAAAAACTAAGGTGTGTCTTATACTCAGGTGCGTAATGTTAAGGATATGGTTGTGTTAACCAACCAGCAGAGCGTAGAGCACAGGGAAACGGTGCTGAGAGTGATGAATAAAATACATACAAACTGGTTTATCAAAGTTTTTTACTTTGTAGTGAAAAACAAGTTCATAGTCTTTAAACAGTCCAAGTCTTTGCCAGTCAAATCAGTCCAGCCCAGTGATACAAACGTCTTCTTACCATACAAAACAGCAATAGGTAATAAACAGCAGCACATACATGCTGGTAACAGATCACGATGGTAGCATATCCACCCATGATGATAGCATCTCCACACACGATGGTAGCATATCATCAATGACTATATTTCAGCTCCCTTCTTAAATACAGTTACAACAGAGCTCATCTAATCAGGATACAGTGACTCAGCATTACAATGACTCAGCAGTACTTATTAAAGTCATAGACCTCAAGGCCTCTTATATGTGGAGAGCCTCAGGGATCGGTCCTCTCGCCCCTTCTGTTCAACATTTATGTGAAGCCGCTGGGCGAGATCATCCGTGGCTTTGGGATGAAGTACCATCAATACACTGATGACACCCAGCTGTACATCTCCACCCCAGGTCATCCCAACGATGCCCTTGAAGTGATGTCCCAGTTCCTGGAGACTGTACAGATCTGGATGGGGAGACACAGGCTCAAGCTCAACCCTTCCAAGATTGAGTGGCTGTGGTTCCATCACTGACTCCATCACTGACTATTGGGGGCGAGTCTTTGGCCCCACAGGGGTTGCTCCTCTGTTCTGGTCCTGTTAGATCTCTCAGTGGCTTTTGATACCATCGACAATGGTATCATGCTGTACCGGCTGGAAGAGTTGGGGGTAGGAGGCACCGTGTTGCGGTGGTTCTCCTCCTTTCTCTCCAACCGGTCGCAGTTTGTGTTGGCAGGGGGGCAGAGGTCGACTGCGAGGCCTCTCATCTGTGGAGTGCCGCAGGGATCGGTCCTCTCGCCCCTTCTGTTCAACATTTATGTGAAGCCACTGGGCGAAATCATCCGTGGCTTCGGGGTGAGATACCACCAGTACGCTGATGACACCCAGCTGTACATCTCCACCCCAGGCCACCCCAATGATGCCCTTGAAGTGATGTCCCAGTGCCTGGAGACTGTGCGGATCTGGATGGGGAGGAACAGGCTCAAGCTCAACCCTTCCAAGACTGAGTGGCTGTGGCTCCCGGCATCCCGATATAGTCAGTTGACTCCATCACTGACTATTGGGGGCAAGTCTTTGGCCCCCACAGAAAGGGCTCGCAATCTGGGAGTCCTCCTGGATATGCAGCTGTCCTTGGAGGAACATCTGACAGCTGTAACCAGGGGGACCTTTTGTCAGGTTCGCCTGATTCGCCAATTGCGGCCCTTTGTTTATCGGGATTCCCTGTGCACAGTCACTCATGCCCTCGTCACCTCTCGCCTTGACTACTGCAATGCTCTCTACATGGGGCTCCCCTTGAAGAGCACCTGGAGGCTCCAACTGGTCCAGAATGCGGCCGCGCGGGTAGTCACGGGAGCCGCATGGCGCTCCTAAAGAACACCTCTCCTGCGTGAGCTGCACTGGCTCCCAGTGGTCTTCCGGGTGCGCTTCAAGGTGTTAGTTATCACCTTTAAAGCGCTCCATGGCATAGGACCTAGTTATCTTCGAGACCGCCTGCTGCTACCGACGGCCTCCCATCGATCTGTGCGCTCCTACAGAGAGGGCCTCCTCGGGATGCCATCAGCCAAACAATGTAGGCTGGTGACCCCCAGGGGGAGGGCCTTCTCTGTGGGGGCACCTACCCTCTGGAATCAGCTGCCCCCAGAGATAAGGAGAATCCAAGACCTCGGTGCCTTCCGCCGTGCCCTTAAAACCTTCTTTTTCCAGCAAGCCGGGCTGGCCTAACACTTTTTAAAATGTTTTTAATTGTTTGTTATTGTTTTTAATCATGGGGCCAATTTTATATATATCTTTTTAATTATATTTTAATGTTTGTAGTTGTGCTTTTACTTGGCTGTTCACCGCCCTGAGTTCTCAGGGAGAAGGGCGGTATACAAATTTAAAAATAAATAAATAAACACATATATTGCCTGGACAACCTGTTAGACATACACCATATCCTAACATTCTCCCCTTTGGACAGGCCAATATATAACAGTTCATATTCTCAAGCCATAGCTTTCGCAACACATCTTATGTTTGACTGCACCCTGTGCTTTGGTGAAATTATCGGCAATATTGTTTTCGGACATACAATATTTCAGCTGGACCATGTTGCTTTGAATACTCTAACAAACATTTAAATAACGAATATCAGTATACTTAGACCTTGTCTTAACCGCTAAATTGGTTGCCATTTTTATAGCAGCTTGGTTATCTTCATAAATTATAATTGGATAATCTACCTTCAAGCCGACATCCATCATTAGTTGTTTATAATAAATCAGATCAGTACATACTAGTGACAAACAGGAGAATTCTGCTTCCATAGTGGGTAGACTAATATGTTTCTGCCGTATTGATTTCCAACCTATTAGACAGTTACCTAACATTATCGCAATACCTAATGTAGACTTTCTGGTGGTCAAATCAGTAGCGAAACTGGCATCAGCATATGCGCTCAGTATTAGATCACGGTTAGGTTCTAAATATAATGCATAATTTATTTTTTTATTTTTATTTTTTTATTTTTAATTTGATTTATATGCCGCCCTTCTCCAGAGACTCAGGGTGGCTTACAATGTGCTAAGCAATAGCCTTCATTCTTTTGTATATTTATACAAAGTCAGCTTATTGCCCCTACAAACTGGGTCCTCAATTTACCTACCTTAGAAAGGATGGAAGGCTGAGTCAACCTTGAGCCTGGCGAGATTCGAACCTGCAGTAATTGCAGGCAGCTGGTCTTAATAACAGGGTGCTTTAGACCACTGTACTACCAAGGCTCTTTTAATAATAATATATAATGATAATGCATTGTCATCTTTAAATATCTCAATATCCACTTTGCGGCCTGCCAATGCCTATCTGTTGGCTCTGCATTATATCTTGCTAATTGGTTTACGCTATATGAAATATCAGGTCTCGACCAATTGCTGATATATGATAGACTTCTAATTAGGGATTGATAGATCTCCTTACTAAATCCAGGACTTTGGATTTCTCCATGTTGAAAATCCTGTGCCATAGGCGTTTTAGCTGGCTTACATAGCTCCATACTATAGCGTTTCAACATCTGACTTATCTTGCTAGACTGAGACAATTTATATCCTCTAGCTGTTTGAACAATATCAAGGCCCAAATAATGT